GTGCTCAGCAAAGAAAGACTCAAGTTCTGGAACTTAATTGTGGGTAGCTCCCTCCTTTCCCATACTCTGCCCCCAAAATTGTAGCTTCCTGGGTCCCCACGTCGTCTGTTCGAGGGCAGCATTTCTGCAGACTGTCTGGATTTCCCTCCCTACCGGTGCAGCGTGGAGGTTACCTCCCAGCAGAAAGCTGGGTGCTCCGTTAGGCTTCAGCAGCCCGCCCTGCCTGTGTCCATACATGTTGTCCAGCTCCCTAGTTATCAGTGGAGGCGAGAAGGCCAGGCACCGTCCTTCCGTTCTCCTAAGACCCGAGGCACGTGTCAAGGCGCTTTTAGAGAGACTTTACCTTTTGAAGCCATATTTAACACACCAACCACGTTTGATGATATCTTTGGCTCTTTAGTACTTTAAAAGGAAACCAGTTATTAGAAGAGCTACTAAATGAGTTCCTTTCTTTCCTCTCTGGATTTTATACTGATAACCCATGGAAACACATTGGAGGTCTCTGTGTCCTCATTCTTAAGGGACAATCCGTTCTCAAGGCCACTGGGACTCCTCTGCTTTCGTAAGAGTTGTTGCTCCGGTGAATCACACCAAATGTTCACACAGTTTATTTCGTGGAGGACATTTCTCCCTGGGTCCCAGGGTTTGCTCCCATTTAGTCATTCTCTGAATGTAGAGTTGACTCTGCCCCTACTCTGGCTTGAGGCAGTTGGCTATGTGACATCTGGCAAGTCATCTTATCTCTAGATCAAGGGATCTGGACTTTAAAGGGACTTGKTTTTGTTTGTTTGCTTTAAACTGGGAATTGAACCCAAAGATACTTTACCACTGAGCTATGTCCCCAGTCCTTTTTATTTTTTGAGACAGGGTCTCACTAAGTTGCCAAGGCTGGCCTTGAACTTGGAATCCTTCTGCCTCAGCCTCCTGAGTGTGATTACAGGCAAGGGGATGATGGCAGGACTTCATTTCTTAATTCRGTGACTATTGACTGAGTTCCTGGGGATACCCGGGTGAGGGAGATGAGCAGGGGGTCTGGGCTCCTGCAGGGCTTGGTGGAGCACACTGATGACACTGAGAAGGAAATGGCTTTAGGTGTGCTCTGAAGAAAAATGGGGTGATGTGAAATGGTGACGGGGCAGGGCTGGCATTAGATGGGGACATCCAAGTCTGTCTGGGGAGCTAACATTGGAACTGCCCTCCAGATGAGCAGAAGAAACTGGCCATTTGAAGTTCTAGGACAGGATATTCTAGGCAGAGGAAAGAGCAAGCACAAAGATCTTGAAGTGGGCACAGAGCCGGCTGTTGTAAGAACATGTGGCTTGGTCCCCTGGGATGAGCTCAGAGGGACATAGGTGAGGCCAGGAGCAGACGGAGTGGGGCTGGGCTCCGCCTGCCGTGAACACCTAAGTAGCACAGGGTTCCTGTCTCATGCTCTTCACAGACGGATGACACAGGGTCCCTGGCCTTATCCTGGGGAGGGTGTGGTAGTGGAGGCACCAGCAAGATCAGAATCTGAAATCAGCAGGGACCCCAGTGGCACAGCGAGCGAACACAGATTTCACACAAGCAGCCAAGAGCCAAGTTCAGTCGTCTTGGGCAGCAGGAGCCAAAAGGAATCCGTTTCTAAATTTRCAGAACCACAGAAGGCTCCCTAGGAACTGCTGAAGCTCACGTGTCATGGCCGTGTGGACCTCSTGTCCTAGAAATCCTGCTTCCGTAGAAGGAAGCCACCAGCAAAATTGCTGGGAGAGGAATAGAACTTTCAAACAGAGAAAGAAAAGATGCTGTGAGAAGGAAGAGCAGTTCAGGGTGGTGACCGCCAGCAGGGGAGGACCTGTGGGAGGCAGCACAGTGCCAGCAGGGGTCAGCTCCATTCAGAGTGTGGGGCTGGCGGACCTGKCGTCTAGTGGAGGCTCCTGGAGGATTTCAGTGTCGATGGGGAGGGGATTCACGTTCATACCACAGCCACAGCACTCCCCTTCTGTTGCCAGGACCAATTTTTTGTGCTTTGAAAAACAGCATCATTAAAAGTTGGATTAAGTAACTCTGAGAGACCCTACACACCTCAGGTGTGGTCTGTAAGAAGCCCTCCTCCTGAGAAGGCCAGAGGCCCAGCCTGTCCACGTGTTCCTTGTCACATCCCTCCTGCACCAGCTTACGTGGCCTTCATGCTTGCCCCTGAACCTGACTGTTCCTAACATGATCTGTATTTTAGACCAGAAAAATCCCTGTTGTCAGCCTCTCCTAAATGTCAGTGTCCTCTCACCTTCAGTTGTGTTTCAGCTTTCCTGAAACCAGTATTTTAACATAATCTTTTCTTTTCTTTTTTTTCTTTTTTTTTTTTTAAGTACTGAGGATCGAACCCAGGGACGTTTAACCACTGAGCCACATCCCCAGCCCTTTTTTTATATTTTATTTAGAGACAGGGTCTCGCTGAGTTGCTAAGTGTCTCGCTGAGTTGCTAAGTGTCCCGCTAAGTTGCTGAGGCTGAGTTTGAACATGTGATCCTCCTGCCTCAGCCTCCAGAGCCACTGGGATTACAGGCATGAGACACCATGCGCGGCTGTTTTAATGTATTCTTGATTTGAACGTTTATGGTGTTCATTTAACATTTTATGTCTGTGTTTCATTGTAGTCTGGATTCTGTGCAGTGTGCCCTCTGATCTCCCCTTGCATTACCTTCCTTCCCTTCTCCACCTCTCGTACACACCCTCAGCCCTGGTGGTCTTCCGGCTCTGGGTGTGGCTCTCCCYGGCTGGCTGGCAGCAGGCTCAGTTGCCCTCAGCTCTGCCCTCTGGAGTACTGCCTGTCAGTTCCGCCATCCTCTCTGAGCACCGGTCCCCAATAGCCATCTCCGACCCTGAAGACCCACCCTGGATAAAACCAGGTTCTCTCCCTCTCCTGCTCAGCTCAGAGGCTCAGAACATCCATGATCCATTTTTCTGTACTCAGAAGTTATTTGGCTGTGTTGACTCTAGCTTTTAATTGGAAGCGGGTCCAGGAATGGACAGAGAGAGAGGTGGGGACAGCGGGGGCAGAGCAGGTGAGGTGCAGAGGTGTGGGAGGGAAGGACAGTGCCGGAGAGCAGTGAGAGAGGGTCTGTGGGCAGAAGAGATCGGGAAGCACTTTAAACACCGACAGGGAAGGTTCGCAGAAGAGAAGAGGTTAAAAGAAAGAGAAAGGGTCTCTCCCAAGTTCCTCAGAAGGACTGGCAACTTCCCGTCTGACAGGTAGATCCTGTCAAGTGCTCTTTCAGTTAGAAGCACTTGAGCTTGCCCTCTAGGTTTGCCAGCATCGGAATGACATGGGCCAAGGCCATACACTGCCAGGATTGTCATAATATTTTAAAAATCATTGAATATTAGTGTTTATCCCAGTGTGCATTAGAAAAATGAATTCTGATATATCCGTACAGTAGACTACTGTGCAGCCTGAGAAAAGAATAACTTCAATGCAGAGAATAAAATAGAACAAAAAACTGTCTAGTGTGCTATCATTTGTAGTTTTGAAAAGGGAGGGAAGAGAAGTACATATTTATATTTCCTTGTCTATAGACAAGGACATTGGAAGGACACCTGAGAAGCCACCCCCAGGGACTGACTGGGGCACAGTGGCCCAGGGCCAACAGTGGGTGCAGGAGGGGGCCTTTAACCGTATCTGTTTATATTTTTAGATTCTTAAAACATATACATATATTATAACCTCTTTAAATTTTTTCAGAGGATTGAATTTTTTTAATTTCAAAGATTAAAATAGATATTATCATTTTACCAGTTGAATAAAAGCCAAGTTGTTTTATGGGGGAGATTATTTGACTTCTGTAAAATGACCATTTATTAGTCTTTTGGTGGCAATAGCTTACTTTCTTTTACTGTGGAAGAAGTATTTCTGATTCTTAGTTTTTTAATTTTTCCTTCAGAAAACTTGTACCATTGCTAATTTTACTAATAAAATCTGATGTAGTTTTCATAATCTCTTTCCTTTTTTCCCCAAAGACTTACATTCATTACCATGCTAGGTAATATTTGGAGGGTTAATATACATAGTAGAATAATTATTTGTTTTAATACTTAAATTCTTACTCTGACATCTTGGTAACTCCAGTAAACTATTAATTGAAACCCTTGGCTTTTATTATAATTCAGAGTGTTAGGAACTGAGGATGTGGCTCAGTGGGATGCCTACCTAGCATATGCCAGGCACCTGGTCAATCCCCAGCACTGCAAAAAAAAGAGGGGGGGAGTGTTCGGAATTGGGGATGTGGCTTAGTGATATGATAGGGCACGTACCTAGCTAGCATGGCTGAGACCCTGGGTTTCATCCCTAACAAATAAATAAAAGAAATGTTAAGTCCAGGAGACTGTCTTAAGGCTAATTGTTGATGGAGAAGCCGTGGCACATGGGAACATTGGTGGAATATTTTATGTGGTGGAAGAGAAGGAAGCTGGCTTCATTTACTTAAAAGCCCCTTTAAAAAGTACCACTGGGACCCTTTAAGGAAGACATCCTTAATTTCCAGGGCACCCGGGGTAGAAGTGGTCGGAAATGGCAGCCATCACTCTGCCCTCCAGACCTGGGAAGTCAGGAGCCTACATACACGTGTCTATACAGTCACATTCAGAAAATGGAGTTTTGGCTAGATGGCAGATGGCCTTAACTCTGTTTTCTTGAATTAGTTTCCTTTTTCCATGAGACTTCTCAAACCTAGAATAGGTACTCTTCAAGCAACCCATTCTCTTTTAATTCTGTTCTTCAAAATTCTCAAATTTTGTAGCTTTCTTTCAGTAAGTATCTCTCCATCTTTTATCTTTTAGGCCAGATAAGTCAGTGGGTGGTTTCCTTGTTTGAAGGAAACAAATACCTTAAAAGCCAACTTTCTGAAGGTCTTGATTTTTGTGAAGTCCTGGGCTGGCAGAACATTGTAATCTAGCTCAGAGGTGACAGTGGGAGCAGCTGGTAGTAGGACATCACAGACCACTGTGATTTCACGCTCTTGGCAGGTTCCTCTCCGTTCATGGACGCGCTAACAGCCAATGGGACAACCAACATACAGACGTCTGTTACAGGAGTGACAGCTGGGAAAAGGAAATTTATTGACGACAGAAGAGACCAGCCTTTTGACAAGCGGTTGCGTTTCAGTGTGAGGCAAACAGAGAGTGCCTACAGATACAGAGATATTGTCGTCAGGAAGCAGGATGGCTTCACCCACATCTTGTTATCCACAAAATCATCAGAGAATAACTCACTCAATCCAGAGGTGAGACGCTCCTTGGGCTGATTTGTGCTTCGTGCTTCTCCACGCCCCCATTTTCCCGGCCTGCTTTGCTGAGTTGACTCTCTTCTCTGTGCTCTTTCTGACCTCCTTCTGGGCCATCTCACGATGTCCACCAGAAGGTAGGAAGCAGAGGTGACTTTGACAGCTTTGCTCCTCCTCATACTTCTGGCTGTAGTGACATGGGGACAGTAGGCCTGTGCCGAGTGTCCACTCAGTTCTCTTGGGTGTGTGAGCTCTGTGCAAACCGTGGCTGCAAACAGGGAGATAGTAGCTACACCCCTGTCTTCGCTCCTCTTTGAGCTCAGGAGCTCTTTATCTGCAGGACATGGGGGACACGGGAGCCCACACAGCCTCCCTGAAGTCACAAGGGAAGTGTTTGTGTGTGTGCTTTGCCTTAGATGTCATCAGACTCTTAACAGGCTCTTTGTTGTTCAAACAAAATTAAAATGCCCTTGGTCCCAGGCTGGGGGCGGGGGGTGATATCCTAGCATACAGATACTCTTCAGCATAGCCCAACACAACGGCCACCCGTTCATTGTTGGTAGTACCTAGAAAGTCAGCCTCCAAAGACCCAGGAGGCTGGAGTGGAAGCTAATTCCACAGAGTATCAGGACCAGAGTGTTGGGGCTCACTCTGTACTGCACCAAAGTTTTACTTCTGGTGGTCGGTGGTTTTGTCCTTGTGAGAAGCTTGGGCAAGTTGTTTCCAAACAGAAAGCCAGAGTACAGAAAGTTGTGTGTCTGGCCAGGGTCATTTAACAAGCCAGTCCAGGCCTCTCTGTACAGTTTTAGACTGCAGAGTCCCCTCACTGGTTATTTTTAAATGCTTCAGAGAGATCCTTTTAAATGAGTTTCTGCCCTTCTGAAATTCCCTCCCRTGCTGAGTGCTTGTACTTAATGCGCTGCTGCACCGAACCGTTGAGGTCTCGGTCCCAAGGGTGTTAGGTTGGTAGGCTGATGTGAAAGAGCAACCAAGAAACAGAACTGAACTTGTTCCTTTGAACTGGTTGAATATGCCACCTGCTGTCCAAACTGTAGAAATACCCGTTGGGTACCGTGTGTGACTTGCCTTGTCTTCTGACAGCCGCAGTGGCCACAGAAGGGGAAGGTGATACAAATTACCTGTCTTTAAATACCTGTGCCCTATTTCTAATTACTTATATAGTCATATTTATTCTCCACTCCCAGCATCCCAGTCTGCAGTTATAGAAAATAAGAAATGTGCGAATTATTTAGTCTTGGTGGATGTAACAAACTCCGTCAGGCTGGGAATGCGTCTCCCTTGCCTGGATTATCTGATAATACAATGCTGTGGGATTCTGTACCCAAATGCTCTTTACCACTTGAACTTATGGTGACTTTCAGGTAATGAGAGAAGTCCAGAGTGCTTTGAACACGGCCGCTGCGGACGACAGCAAGCTGGTGCTGCTCAGCGCGGTGGGCAGCGTCTTCTGCTGCGGTCTTGACTTTATTTATTTTATACGGCGTCTCACAGACGACAGGAAGAGAGAAAGCACTAAAATGGCCGAAGCGATCAGGTATGCAGAAATGGTGTGTGGTGAATGTTGGCTGGGTGTTCTGTGCTCAGTGTTCAGTCTCTGCGAGAGCCACCCGGACCGGCTTCTCGCCTCTGGGGGGCACAGCAGCAGAATGAATGAGTCACCTGCCTCTTCTGTGGGCCTGGCAAAAATTCCTGCTCGCCTTGGGCTGGTAACCAGTTTCCAGGCTGGCTCCTTCCCAGAGCGCCCCGGAAGGCTCCCGTGACCAGAGGACTCTACAGGATCATGTGTCGCCAGGCTTTCCATTATTTGTTGTCCTCGGCCKGTAAATAAAGAGTCGTTCTCTGGGTTCCAGATAATGACTTGCTAGTTTGCCAGACCCCACCATCCCTTGGTGGCCTTTGTGACAGGCTGGCTCCTCACGCTGCACGGGAGCTGCTCTGCTAGTGCAGACCCCGCTCGCTGCGGCTTGTTCCAGCTGCACAGAGACTGGATCACAGGAGAGAGGAAGACTCCCCTTTCTCACTCCGCCCCACTCTTCACTTTTATGTCTTCCACAACCTTCCACTAAACAATTTCTTTTTTATTTCGTAGGATTTATTTTTTTTAATTGACAAGTAAAGATTGCAAATACTTGTGGTGTACAGCATAGTGGGTGGKTTTTTTTATGTTCACTTTTAATGAATTTTTTATTAGAGCTTTATAGTTATACATAGTAATTGGGTTCCTTCTAACAAACTCGTACGTGCATAGAAATCAATTTAAGTTCATGACCCCCCCTCTCCCTTTTCCCTCCCCATGTCCCTCCCCTCTCCATTTCTCCTTGCTCTACTCCACAGGACTTTATTTAGCTTGCCTATTAATTTATTTTTGGTCCTTTATATCATCCTATCCTTCCCTCTTCCTGTTCTTTATTTTACTTTAGCATCCACATATGAGGGAAAGCATTCAGTCTTTTGAGTTTCTGAATTTGGCTAATTTCATTTAGCATGATATTCTCCATTTCCATTTAGTCACTGATGCCATAATTTCATTCTTTTTTATAGCATAATGTTTTGATGTATGTCTGCATTGTCTCATGTACCCATTTTTGTGGTGAGAGCATGAAATCTACTTTCTTGCAGTTTTCAGGCATACAGTACAGTGTTGTTAACTGTAGTTACCATGATGTACAGTCGTTCTCTTGACTTCAGCATTTTTAATTGTGTGTTTTATATACACACACATAATACAGATTGGTTGTAGTTCTGTTAAATAAATGGATTACACTGTGTGCTGCTTTTTGCAGCTCGCTTTCCTCCTTTCTAACTGTAGGACTTTGAGCTATTTCCACTTCCTCTGTGGTTGGATTTTTCACTACTRTATCATAACAGTACGCAAAGCTCCCCTTAGAATCACCAATTCCACTGTAAGCACATCCTCTCATTTATAATACTAAGCAATGTGTGTAATTGAAAGTATCTAATTTTTCAGAGGTGAATTTTATATGAAATGAATGAGACCAGTCACCAACCAGGGAGGCTCGTATCTCTAGCCTAAAAGGATATATCCCTATGTGACCCCCTAAGGGGTTTTGCCTTTTTAATTTATAAAAGGAGGAAGAGATGCATACTTGCAGAAGGGTAATAAAGTGGATTGGATCTCTTCCAAAGCCCCAGATACTCACAGAGTTGAAGCTGAGATTTTGATAATTACTGAGCTTTGACAGGCTGAGGCTCCGAGCACTCCTTTGTGGCACTGGGCTTTCTGGTCCCCTAAACCATTCAGTTTTTGTGGGTCTGGGTATCTCTCTGTAACAGATCCCTAAGGGGCTTTTCATGAGCACTACCCACTCAGCCCACCAGAGATTCCTGGAACCCCAGGCCTCCTGGTTATGGGGTATTATCTTGGCCTTTCATGATATAGTTAATAATTTTCTGACCAATCTATGTATACACCTGCATTTAGGAGGTTATTTGTTCCTTAATCTTTTGTACTTTGCCATCTTCAGGCTATCATGATAGTTTTTTGTTTTTGTTTTCAGAAATAGCTTGAAATTTTATAATGTAAGTATTATTTCTGGCCTCCTAAATAATTTCAGATTTATGGTATAGTACTAGATTATTTAATTTGAATTAAACTTCTTGATTGATGTGCACAATTCTCCTGGCAGAGCCCCAGAACCTCTGTGACTACTTGCAGCTAACCCTCACTACCAGCACACACACACACCCCCGCCCGGGTGAATTGCATGAATTAAGGACTCCTTATGCCTCCCATGATGACTATTTTCTTCGAGATCACACTGAATTCACACTTAGTACTGTGCTTTTGGGTGGCTCTGCTGCAGTGAGAAAATGAGGTTTGTCCTCCAGTGCCTTTGGAGCCGCAGGGACGCTCTCCCATGTGGCGCTGCCCTGAGTGCCACTGAGTCTCTGCCATTCGGCCCACTGCTTCCTCCAGTGTGGCATTGCCCTTGGCAGAGGCCACAGCTTGTGACATTGGGACTAGTAGAAAAAAGAAAAGACAGGTCCAGACAGATTTGGAGATCTCATTTCTTGGACTTCTAGATGACTTTCAGTGTTTAATTTCTTGAGCCTCCACTCCCATTTCTGCTCCCAACCCTCCCCACTCCGTTCTGCTCTCCTTGCTCCCCACAAAGTGCTGAATTGGTGTTCTGCGAAAGCCAAACCCTACTTCCAGGAAACCTGCTTGGTTTTACTCTAAGTGAATACATTTTTGACCATGCCAATTTTTCTTAATATACTCTGGCAGGATCAGAAAAACAATTAGTTACACCACATTCACTTATCCTTTCTCTTGGTCATTTGCATTTAAATTAATTCTTATATGTGCAAAATTGGCTTATACACATAAATTCTTACTGTGTATATATACATACGTATATATGTGTATATGTGTGTGTGTGTGTGTGTATGTATAAAATATATATTGTTGTTGTTTCTATRTGTCTTATCTCAAATTTCTTAAAACTTTGAAAGGACCTCATCATAGCAATGCCAAAAGAAGAAGATTGGACTAAACATTAGATTGCCAGGTAGCTAATTCCATTATTGGAATTGTTGGTGATAACCAGTTTGCAGATTCATTGTCATAAAGTGTCCAGCTCTTTAGTGATAAACACAGAATGACCAGGAATCCATTTATGTCATTAGGCTTTTGAAGCCTGCAGGAACAGTACCTTCCTTTCAGGTGGTGGGTAAGGAAGGAGCTTCCTCTCTCCAGGAGCTAGGTGTCTCGCCCCACCAAGGAGGGAGCCCAAGAGGAGGGGCTCTGTCCCCAGATTAGAGGACAGGAGAGGGAACAAAGGAGGGGTAAACCACCYGATCTTGACCTCGTCCCCATTCACTCTTTCCAGTTTCAGGAATTTTATGAATAGCTCAGCTGAGAAATGGCAGGGACTAGCCATTGAAACCCTCTTGGCCTCTTTTCCCCAAACAATCCCTGGTCTCTTACCTTAGGTGAATATCTAGCTTTTTGATGTTTATACATTGGTAAATGTACTTAATTATAAATCTTTAAAACTAATGTTATGGCATCTCTTTTCCTTCCCTTCCGTCCCCAGCATAGCCTTTAACTCAGTTAAATGTTGCATTTCACACACTTGTGTGTTTTGTTTTTAGTTTTGAATATACTTGCTTTACACCCAGCACAAGCGTTGGTCTCCTTTGATGCACGCTGCTGAGGTCCTGTCCAGGCCTGAGGGCCGTCCCCACTCCCTACCCCTGGGGAGTTGTAGTCACAAGGCTGAGTTCTCAGTGGCTCTGAGAAGTTTCTGTTAGACACAGCATTTCTAGAAGAGTTTTGTTGACAACACAATTTTCTGGGCAGACCATGTTTTTTTCTGGTATTGTGGAGCTCACATATCAAAATGGCCAGTTTCCTCTGAGAAGAGAAAATCTTTGCTCTAGAGTGTGCTGGTGAATTCAGTCCCCTCCTAAAAAGAGCCTTCGGTTTCAGTTGAATTTGTTATTGCAGGCAAAAATCAAAATAAAATTTCAATTGCAAAAAATTCAACAGGTCGCTAAAATCCCAGTTCTCATTTTTCTTCATCTCCTTAGAAGCAGGGTTTTTGAAGTAATTAGTTCCTCTTACCGTTTCTCTACAGAATCATTTTATGATTACCCTGGTTTTGATGGTCCTTTTCATGTCACTGCCAACCCTGGTGGTTCCCAAATGTCAACTGGAATGTTGTACTCCACCTGAGCCTGTAAATGGAGCTACTCCGGGCATTGAAGGAGACATATCTTAGGAGCATCTGCTCCATATCATGGGGGCAAGTCAGCAGCTCTTTCCAAGGGGCAACAGTAACTGAGGGTAGAAATGACTTTCCATCTCGCGTCATTGACCCAAAAGCCTCAAACAGCAGCACAGCTGAAGTAGCTTCTCGTAGACCCTCCAGGCTCATCTCAAGAGCCTGGCTAAGAGGTGTCCTGACCCTCTTTGTACCATTAGACCCCACGTAATCTTCGCAACAATGCCTCAGGTCTTCTCACTTAGCAAGTCTTAGTGCAGCTCATTCATTTGAATGAACTGAATTCTTGCTCAATGCAAAGATCCCACAAATCTTGGGGGTCTTGCAGTGACTAGAGCTTAACAAGCTCCTTGGCTCTGTAACCCCTCCTTGCCTTGGTCTCCACATGTACTCCTGCACATGCCCACCCTCCTCGCCTCCCCAACCTGCCCCCTCCAAAAAAATACCACTCATCCTGCCAGTATTGGGGGTGGGAGCACTGTTCATGCATGCTGAGTATGATTTTCAGAAATCTGAACAGATTGCTCCAGCTTTTTAAATTGCTGAATTATAGAGCGCATCAGATGGCTATTTTCAGTTCTAACAAGGGGTTCAGGTTTAGAATCCATCCAGTGTGAAAGCTCTCTTTATTGTGCATTTCTAATCTAGAACCTGAACTGCCTTAAAGGGATTATCTTGAATTCATTTTGGTGTGCGTTTACCCTTTTCTCCACTGTGTTAAGTCATAATAAGAAACAACTTCTCAGCGTAGCCTCTGGGATTGGGAGGAACATGCTCATTCCCAATATGGTCTGACACCGTCTCCCCAAATTGAAAAGCAGCTTACTTTTCCGTCCAGGTCCTAAAGCAGGGTTGACTCTTTAATAAAATCTGCCTGCTCTGYGGCGGCCATCCCACTCCTGGTCTTGCTCTCCTTGAGTTGCTGCCAAGTGGAGTCTGCTAAGGGTCAGCAGGGGGTGTGGCCGTGTGCCTGCTGGACCTGCGGTTCTTGTTTTCTGGTCTGGTGTCTGAACCATCCTGCTTCCACACACCCCAGGCCACTCACTCAGTCTAGTTCAGTCCAAGTTCAGGACGAATCTGTGGTTCCCAGGTGACTAAGGAGCTGCCCCCTGGGTTGTGTCCCGGCTCTTGTTCAGCCTTTACGTCCGCAGTTCACAACTTCTGGGAGAGGGCCTTCAACAAATCTCAGCTTATAATGATTTCCACAGAGTTTACATCTTGGTAAAAACTGAGTTCCATAATAGATTTTTTTTTCATCTGCTCAAATATGCAATGTTTTGAGTAATTCCCCATTTATTTTTTATTTTAGAAACTTCGTGAATACTTTCATTCAGTTTAAGAAGCCTATTATTGTAGCAGTAAATGGCCCTGCCATTGGACTAGGAGCATCCATATTGCCTCTTTGTGATGTGGTTTGGGCTAACGAAAAGGCTTGGTTTCAAACACCCTATACTACCTTCGGACAGAGTCCAGATGGCTGTTCTACCGTTATGTTTCCCAAGATTATGGGAGGAGCATCTGTGAGTACCTTTAAAAAAAAAAAAAAAAGATCATTCTAGAAATTGTCCTGAAAAAATTTAGTGTGGTTGTTGTTTTTCTCAAAATACAGTGTGTCATTCTGTGGGAACTGTCCATCAAATACATTTGTAAGAGAGATTGGTTCGTGGGACATTATGATACTATTTTGCATCCTTCTCTAGAGAAGGACCCATTCATATAGAAGCCTTCAACTTTGCATAACCAACACTGATAATTCCCCAGGTGTAAGCCAGACAACAGGGTTTACAACTGAAAACGTCTTTACCTAATAACCCATAAACCTTGCACTTGTCAGGAAAGCAATGGGGGAGCATAGTTGCAAAGAATAAAAGAGGGGGTTTCCCACATGATTTTAGTTTGATTTTTTTAACTGTGAACAAACCCACTATAGCGCGTGTTTGGTAGCTTTTGATTCCTTGAGCAGTAACACAGTGACACACGTACCTCCTTCCTTGGTCCTTGAATTAGGGCAAGGGGCAGTGCCACTGGTGTGCTTCCCCAGAAGCTGACAAATTGGAGGCGACCAGTGGGCACCTGTTGAGAGACAAGGAGGACATGGGACTGCAGCTCTGCCACACCCAGGGGCTCWGGAGCCCATGTGGTCTGTCCCAGTGCCCAGGTGGACAGCCAGGCTGCTTCCTTTGTGTCTATGATTGTCGTCTAGGGGATGCTTGGGAAGAGTGTGTGCCCATGGACAGGGTGGCTCTGCAGCTGAGGGAGTCCCCACAGAGGCCAATGGCTGCCGGCTGGTGGCATTGCCCGCAGAGGAGGCAAGACCTCCCTTGGGTGTCACAGTGGCACATCTCCCACCCAACACAGTCCAGCCCACTGCTGCCAGGATCCCCCTCTTCCCAGTGCAGTCATAGAGGACGAGGTCAGACGCTAATAACTGTCCAAGATTATCAAACTGAGTGAGTGGGAGCCTGAGGGAGGAAAAGGACATTTGCACCCTCTCGTTATGGGCTGTGAGAAGAAGAGCTTTTCAGAGGAGAGACTGGTGGTCAGAGTGCACCACCAGGCCTGTGGCCCTMAGTGCACCAGGCCTGACACCTGCGATGGCACAGCTTCCGTCACAGGACTGCGCCAAAGTGCACTGCTCAGTCTAGTCACCAGGAAAACCCGACAGACCCGGGCCATGGGGCAGTCTGCGGCACTGAGCCGTGCTCCTGAGAAGTGTCAGAGGCATAGAGACACTGAGGCTTGTGGACCGTTGTACCCAGGAGGACAGGGATGTGACAGCTCAAAGCAGTCCTGGGATCCCAGGTCAGAAAAATGGTTGAGTAGGGAAACTGGCCAGAGTGGTGTAGGTGAGTCGTGTGATGTTAGTGGTGATGCCCTGGGTTTGCTCCTCCTAACAGGTAGGTACCTGTTAATGTAGGAAGGCCTGGGCCAGCTAATGGGAACTCCTACACATTTTGATAATGTTTCCATAAGCCTAAATGTGTTCCAAAAGTAGAATACTACCCCACCCCCAAAAAAATCCCCGGGAGGAGGAGGAAGCTCCTCCTTAGAACAAGCAGCAGCCCGCTGCCACTCTGGCCTTGGCCATCCTGCTTCTTGGCTAGATGTGCCCTCACCACATTCTGCCGGTGTCATTCCTAATGGGCCCAGGCCTGGTCACCTTGCACTGCTCAAGCCAGAGTGGTACCACTGGGCAGGGCAGGACCTAAAGTGTCCTGTTTCACCTTTGCCCCAGGCCGTGCATCCTTCCAGCTGGGGACACGACCTGTAGCAGGTGTTGGGTGCGCTGTAAGCACCACGAGTCAGAAAACAGTCCTGTGCCCAGGGAACACACTGCCACCTTGGTGCTCTGCCTGCCCCTGGCCTGTGGACCCTCCATCAGGCCACAGCTTCTGTAGGTGCTGTGTGTGGCTCAGCCAGATGGCCCTGTGGTCCTGGCCCCCTCCCGTAAGTCCCCCACCACTAGGGGGGTCTTCTGGTCGGGCATAATGCTCTGTGGCACCCTGTGCTGGTGGACTAGACCCTCCCTAAGCCTCAGCCCTGAGGGCCTGCTATTACCAGGCAGCACTGGGGGCAGGGGTAGGACATTCCCATTGGCACCACCAGGTGCCAACTGAGTGCACTTCTGAGAACAGTGCTGTGCAGGCTGGACTTGGAGGCAGCAGTAGCTAAAATCACCTTGGCCATCCGGGTCCATGCTGTGGAAACCATCCCTCACTCAGTTCATAGGGCTGTCAGGTCCTCACGGGGATGGCTGCAGTCAGGAYGACAGTCCAGCCAGCCAGCCAGGCTACCCACCCCTGCTGGGGATCAGTGTCCTAACTGGATCTCCTGCTGCTGCTCCAGACGCGTGCCCAGGTGCACCCCCCACTTGGTAGCGTCTCCCCTCATCACAGTTCTGTAAGGCCTCAGTCAAGTTGCTGTCCCCTCTTTTGACTTGCATACCCACACACTGACTACGCATAGTCAAAGGGAATTCCCAGGTGGCCACGGGTATGGGCTAAGGCAGGACACCTGTGCAGCAAATGTGGGAGCCTGCGCCTACCACTGGCCCTGCCTGGCCTCACACCTGTGGGTCTGGTGTGACTCAGCTCATGATGGACGTTTCTGACTTGTGTTCGTTTGGTGCCCCATGGACACACACTCTAACAAGTCCCAGCCAGCACAGCAGGCACATCCTTCCCTTTTGAGACTAGCACCGCCTTGCTCCAGGGCGTCGAGAACTATCCTGTGGTCCTCCCCCTGGCTCTTCCACTGACGTCCAATCCCACCCCCTCCACTGTCAGCCACAGCTGTCCTGGCCCTCCTGCTCTGCTCAGAGTGAGTCCCCACTCTCAAAACCATCCAGGAGTGAGGTGACCCCCATTGACTCCTCCTGTCAGGCCCTGGGCCATATGCCCTTAGAATGAGACCCACAAGTCTTCCACTGCCCCCACCGGTACCTTCTGGCTGGCCCTACGATTACTCTCAGGGAGGAGACAAGTTACAGGCCTGACACCTGAGAGAGGATGGGACAGGTCTTAGGGGTCTCAGTTTGTGGAGGAAGGGACAGGTCTCAGTATTGTCTTGAGAGTGAACCCACATTGCCTTCAAGCAGGGCAGCATGCTGTTAGTGGGGACAGTTGGACCATTCTGTGGACACACAGGGTCAGAGGAGTCTGAAGTTCAGGGCTTGGAGGACATCCTCCCAGAGGTCCCATGCCACGTTCTGTGGTTCCCTAACAGACCTACCTTGGGCGGGAACACGTTGAGGGCCCTGTGCGGGCACCATTGGTACTCTGCCTGGCCCAGCATCGGGCCTCCTTGCCAGCCAACAGGAAGCCATCCAGCCCCCGAGTCCCTCCCCCGCGTTCATTCTATTCCCACCTGCCACAAGTTCACTTCTCTGGAAGCTGAGATGGAGTTTTACAAGTGGGATTTGGTGAGTTTGGTGTCATCGCCGGAGGAAGGACAGGAGGAAGCAGGGTTGGGCAGAGGGCAAAGCTGGGGTGCAGCCCTGGCAAAGCCTTGTCCAGCCCCTGCAGCTCTGGGGCCTACATGGCCTCATGGTTACTCCAGGTGCCCCCACCACACCTGGCTACAGTAGCAGTCCCAGGAAGGGCCAGTCCATGGGTGAGGCCATCTGGAAGCTCTCAGTTGCCTGCTGACCTTCTCCCAGCAGCTGGGCAGCCAGCATTTCCCAGGCTGGGGGCGTGTTTTTGTCCACCCCAGGGCGTGCTCCATGCTAACCACATGAAGGTCATCTGTGTTGTCCGTCTTGTCCGCATCACCAGGCTGCACCTACCTGCCGCTGCCTGGTTCCAGGTTTAAGTCATCACTACAATTTCTTTGAGTGAGTTCTCACTGTGGATAGGTGGTTTCATAATAATCCTGGCATAGAGAATCCTTATCAACAATAACATCATGTGAATAAGCTCATTTTGGGTTTCTCTATAGAGATTGAAGTCTGAGGATTCTGTTCTGTCCTGTTGTAGGACCTGAGAATATTTGTGAGGTGCAGGTGCATGGGAAGGGCAGATCTGGGGGAAMTAGGCAGAATGGACATCAGGCACCTTTTGGGCAAAGGCATTTTGGAAGTGGAGCCCTTGGGCCACGTGCTGCTTGGCGATGGGGGTCTTGGTATTCACTGCTTGGCAAGACTTGTAGATGGCTTGAATTTGGCCAAGTCATATACAAATCTAGGTCAGTTGTCTTTCCCACTGGACAGGTCTTGACAAATGGATACATTTGGTTCCCCTAGAGTRTACCTGGGGCAACTTTGCTCACCCCAGGGCCTGGGGCAATGTCTGTCTGGAAACGTTGTCTTGGTTGTCCCAACTGAGGAGATGCTGATCAGTAGAGGCCAGGAGAGCTGCCCAGCCTCCTCCAACACACACGGCAGCCCCCACACCAAAGTTATACCATCCCCGAATGACTCCAGAGCCCAGAGAGAAACTGCTGTGAGCAAGGGGGAGGATCCTACCCTTCACACCTGCAAATCCATCACATTTCAGGCAGAGTATTTGAACCTCTGYAAAAAGTAAATAAGTGGTGTTGGTGGCACATATGGGGTAGCTCTTGTTGAAATGATGCACTTCCTTTTTTGAACTTTGGGTGTATCTGAGGCAAGACTGGGGATACACAGGGGATCACGTGACCATGAAGCTAGCTGGGAGCCCTCCATCCACCGCTGGGGAGATGACCCTTAGCCACAGGTCCAGCCACACCATGGCAGTTAGCTCAGGAGGCCATTCTATGGGTCACCCTCCTTGTCCCCAGGAGACATTCACTGAGTGCCTGCTGTACTCCAGACACTCTGCAAGGTCACAGGCCAGCCTCAGACCCCTCTATCCCATCCCCAGGAGCCTACATGCTCGGGGCAGTTGCGGACTTTGTGACTGGCACAGAGTCTCGGCTGAGGAGAGCACAAAGAAGGACCCGGGCCCACAAACAGGCCCCACTTGTGAACTTGGACCACTGAGTCCTCAAGGGGCGTTTGGCTGGAGAAGTGCCCAGTCAATGGCCATGTCCTTCCCTGAGTTCACCAACAAGAGCTGCCCTCCTGGGGCATTTAGAGATGGCGGCCCCAGGAGTGAGTGGCAGAACCCCAGCCACAGCTACCCTTATAGCTCGAAACCCAGACACGCCCCCCCAGCCCTCCCTTGTGGCTCTTGATGTCGCCTTTTGGCCGAGGCCTGATTCACTGTCCTCCAGCACTTCCCCTCAGGCCCGGGTCTTACCCGATGACTTGTAGACATTTGGACAGTTCTGACCACGTGAGTTGTTTCTGTGGGTCATCTCCCAGGGCCTCATGTTCAGTCCACAGCTAGTGAATTGCCCAGAGACCACATCTTTGCAAGTCTGTTATTTGATTCAGATGGAGTCTATTAGTCCTGCATATCTGACAAGAACCGTTTTCTCTTAATGGTTGCTTGGTGGTTTTGATGACCGAGTGAACCGTTGCCTATGTGAAGCCACCAGGGTCAGCCCCAACGTTGATACTCTTGGCTAAATTCAGAAATGCCCTTCGATGTCCGGCACATCCAGCCGTCCAGACTAGAGAAAGCTAGGGTTTCACGGTCTGCAGTGCAGAGCCGGCTGGGCTCAGGAGGCAGACCGACCCCCAGGACAATTTGTTTGCAGGAGGGGAGGGCAGTTCTGATTGGCGGGCCCAGGTCCAGAGAACCAGGAAAAGGGGGACTGGGGAAGGCAGCCGTGGGAGGGCTGCCCACTGGCCCGAAAGGGCAGGAAGTAGCGTGGGAAGGATGGAGGAGAATGGGTATGGGAGGCCTAGCTCAGGCTCTGGTTCAGGTGGGTCTTGTTGGAGAACATCATCTTCCTTGACCAAGGGATTGAGTGGTGGTGTTGTCTTCACTGTATACTGAGACAAATTCCAGGAAAGCAACGGTCGGTCACCYTGGGGCGCATCACGGAGCTTGCCACCCGGGTCCCGTTCCGGCTTCCTTCCTCGCTGCCCTGGAGTCTGCCTGGAGAAAAGCTGTCTTCACGGGCAGCAGTGGGGTTGTGCCACGTTAGGGAGCTGTTCACTGCACCGGGGCTGAGCACTCTTCACACATCACAGCTTCGCCCCAAGACTGAGCCGTAGAGCAGGCTGCACTTTGGGAGATGACTGAGGACCTGGCAGACTATCTCGCCAGGAGCCCGTCCCCGAGTCTTCTGCCCCTCTGCTGAAGGGGCAGACCAGCCCACACTGGCTGTGCCCACGGGGGACACACTCAGTGACTGCAGGCCTTCCTGAGATGACTTCGCTCGTGGTCAGGTCTTCTTCCCAACCGGGGAAGGGGTCATCTCGGGGTGACCATGGGCAGGCAGTTGTCATGTTAGGCCACTCCAAAGCCCGTCAGGTGCGTCCTTCCCTTCTTACCTGTCACAGTGTGAGCCGATCCACACACAGTMTCCAGGCACCTGAAAAGTGACCTGGAATCCAGGACAAAATCAGTGTCAATTGTACATGTGGGTTTTTTAAACAAGCAAATGTTAGCTTTGTCCAGTGGGTTCGCCCTCTTATATAGACCACAGTGATTTTGGACACCTAGGGTCCTGCCTAGATCGTTTCGCATTTTAATATCCAGGTGGCAGTATGGCCTTCAAAGCTTCAACCCACAGCACACTGCCACCAAAACGTTGGCTCTGTGTCTGGAGAAGAGGCCACCACGTTGGCCTAGTCCTGGCTCAGGTCCTGGGTTCTGAATCACCTAGCCTTACTTAGGGCTCACTTCCCCAGAATTGGTCTTAGGGACTCTCTGAGGTGACCCCGCTCTCCCAGTAGGCCCCACTCATGGTGCCCTCGCCCGGGGTTTATTCATGGTGGCCCCTGGAGGACACGGCAGATTCTGGCRTTTTTAAACCTCCATCTCAGTTTGGATTTTGAGGGGTGGGTTCTGGGGATGGGTCTCCCCTGCTGCCTTCTCCCCAGTGTCACACCCCGTCAACGCTTCTTGTTTCAGGCAAATGAAATGTTGCTCAGTGGGCGGAAGCTGACCGCACAGGAGGCTTGTGGCAAAGGCTTGGTCTCCCAGGTGTTTTGGCCGGGGACCTTCACCCAGGAAGTCATGGTTCGGATCAAGGAACTGGCCTCGTGTAACCCAGTGGTACGTCCAGTTGGTTCTTTCACCTGTTACTTGAGAGCTCACAGGTGACAGTATGTCCTGAGTCCCCACACCGCAACACAGCCACCTTGAAGCCCAGTACTGACAGACCACATGGGTGCTGTCTCCCCAGACCTGTGCACCTGGTCCCCCCATGAATATCCCCCCAAATTAAAGGAGTAGACTTCATTTGGAATTAGTAATTTAAGGTGTCCACTGAATGTCCACCACAACCAGCACTGATACCGTCCTTTCCTGCTGGTGAAGCCCTCTCATGTAGTCACACTTAGTGTCCCCTGCACTCRGTGAGCCTATGTTTTTTTTKTTTGTTTGTTTGTTTAATAAATGTGCTGAATAATGGTCTTCTAACAAATTGCATTTAACACATTATAGGATGAAATGTTAACTGCCAAAACTCTCATCTAAACCTGCCCAGACATCTGAGCAACCTCCATAATTAAAATTAAACTTTGTTTAGAAAATGCGCTCAACAGGTGTTCTCAAAGTTTTCTCAAGTATCAAGGGAGTGGACATCCAGTTCAGGGGTCCACACCTGCCCATAACAGTAGTGYAGTAGAGTCACCCTCCTTCCACAGGGAGTGGTTCCAGGCCTCCCCATACCAAACTCCTTGCCTGCTCAAGTCCCCTATATAAAAACACCTGGGTATTTGCCTTCTATAAAGCCTAATGCACTGTGAATACTACTTTGGTCGGTGTTTTATATCTTTATTATTGAGACAAGAAAAAGTCTGTACATGTTCAACACAGACACTGATTTTTCCAAATATTTTCAGTGCAGTGTTGATAGAGTCCACAGATGTGGAACCCACAGGTTCAGAGGCCAGCTGTCCTGACGTGTGTGGGGGCCCTGGAGGTGGGGCTGCTGGCTCTTGTAAGTGGTGGCTCAGGCTTGACGGTCTCCCCAGGTGGGGACGCAGGGCCAGTGCCCACGGAGGTCAACATGCTAACTTGCCCCCTGCTGCCCGCTGCAGGTGCTGGAGGAGTCCAAGGCCCTCGTGCGCTGTAACATGAAGATGGAGTTGGAGCAGGCCAACGAGAGGGAGTGTGAAGTGCTGAAGAAAATCTGGGGCTCTGCCCAGGGCATGGACTCCATGTTAAAGTACTTACAGAGGAAAATCGATGAGTTTTGATCAGCAGGCCGCGTGCCAGCAACACTGAAACTGGTCTGAGCAGGACATCGGCGGCTCCCAGTTGCCAGGATCCATCCTCACAGCCTGAAGCAAGTTTACCTGTAGCACACGTTAGAAGCAGGGCTGGGAACATCCAGGCTATTTATTATCGAGGAGTTTTTAAGTACTGTAACTTTCAAATAAATAACTACAAAGCTCCTTTGTGCAAACGTCATTATTTTATACTTATATACTCACGAGTATAAAAGTATAATGGAGAGCACTAGGCTGCTCTTGGACGCTCTAACTTTTGTTTTCTTTGGCTAGTACTGTATAAAAGAAGAATTGTGTTGTATTCATTTGGGGTGATAGAAAGTCTGGAATAATGTTTATTTTCCTCATTTTTTTACAATTTTCCTTCTCGAACACAGAATCTAACGGGGTATTAGCCAACCTCATCTCCCCCTCCCCCAAATAGAGATACAAAAAGACCTGAGACATTCCTTTGTCTCCAAGGGGAGAGGTACAGATACCTCAGAGATGGAAAATTCTAAATCAAAAGTAAGACTTACCTTTAAGGAAAAGTAGTTCCGCTGAAAGACATAAACATGCACTTAGGATTTATGCTGAGATGTTGATTGATTCTTCTTTCTTCTTATGCCTAGTTCTTACCCAGTTAACATGAAGAAACCACTCTCTCCAAGAAAGCTTGTTTTACAGTATTAGTGAGTCACTGAATAGCCTCAGTATGAGTATCTAAGTTATGAGTTAGTCTTAGTGGGTTTTAAATAGTTCCTCTGACCCTTTGGGAAAATAACTACATAAGCACTTCTTGTTGCTGGGTGAGAAACACTCTGTTATATACAGTTTTTGGTTTTCTATCTGCAGATATGACTGAATTACACCAAAAAAAAAAGTATTTTTATGTTTATAAAGTGTAATTTTTAGGTTCACTTAGAATATATTTTATTTAATAAGTTAAAATTCTTTTGGCACACTATTAAATACAGAAACTCCTTTCCAAACAAGAAAGAACTACCTTATATTCAACATTTAATGTTCTTGGTCTCTGCTTTTATGTCTCCACCACATCCTGAATACAGTTCAGTGTCCCAGAGTGCCCTGTGTGGACGGGGACGCGCATTCCTTTCAGGAGTGGGGACTGATTCCTGACGACAGACGCCTGTTAGTAGTAAGGCTTCTGGGCTTGCAATCATATTGAATGTATGAAGAATGAAATAAAATCAAAACCTTATTTTTGTACAGTTTTGAAGTTTATACTTAGAACTGACCCCCGCCCCAGCCACGCGGAGAACTGTACAGTGTGTAAATCTGCCTTTACTTGGATTGATTGGTACAGTATTTTTGCATCTGTGGGACCTACTTTTTGTTCAGTAGTTTGAACTATATATAAACTGTACAATCTGTAAAGTTTTTATAGAATAAATATTCAGCTGTGAAAACTGGTTAAATAAAACTAATATTTCTTAACACATTTGAAATGTTTCTGTGATTCTTCACTTGCAAAGGTTTTTCCTGAGATGTCTTCTCCGATCTTTTCTGTGAAATAGACAAATGTACTAAAACGTCTGTGCAGTTTAGTGGGATGAATATACCTGTGTAACTCTCCACCAGGCAGGAAATAGGATACAACCAGTCAGATCCTTCCAAAGCCCTACCCCCRCCCCAGCCAGGGACCACTGCCTGCTTCTCTATCCAAGAAAATATTCTTAAAATATGTTGCTTAGGTCTGTCAACGTCATACATTTATGTCATATCAGACATAAGTTCTGTGATTTGGCTCTGTGACTGATTTCTTCTGTACCCACACCTGCAGTGCAGGTATTTTCGTTCCTGTCTTAGAGATAAGGAAGCTTCCCTTTTTAACATTGGACCTGAGTCACAAAGGTAATCGGTCAGGGATAAGACCAGACTTGGGCCAGGTCAGTGTGGCAAACCCGAATTCCAGTAACGACCCCTGGTTCTGTCTGCTTTCTAGAATTGACCACTGGGGAACTCACCCAGTAGATTCTCGGGGTAGGAATCTGGCTCCATCAGCCTGGACGTGGCTGGTCCAGGCCCCRTCCGCCCTTCTCTGAGGCACTTGGAGGAACACTGTCAACTTGGGTGAAGTTCTGAGATTCGCACCCAGTCGGGGAGGGTGGAAGGAAATGCAGACTTTGATATTGGAAGTCTAAATCGGTACAATTTTATAGAATTGGACGGTCGCTGTCAAAATAGATCACTGAAAACCTGGACCCAGCAATTCCATTTGTAAGGAATAAATTCCTTAAATACAAATCACCTTAAGGAATAAATTCTTACTGGAAATGTGAGAAGAGAGGTCCATATGCAGTTCCGTTCATCTCAGGATGGTGCCTAATGGGGAAAAGTTAGGAACAGCCCATGTGTCCATCAATAGGGTTTTGATTAAGTAATTCCAGACGTTTCCTGACTGGAAGTGGTTCGACTTCTGGTTTTGCAGCTTCATGATGGTGCAAAGACAATACACAGCCAGTAGAAACTGTACTTTGACTTTTGAGTCTATGTGGTCTAATGCTCTTGTGAAGCTGGGCAGTGGCAGCTTTCAGTCAGCTCAGCAGGCACCAGGGAAACCACCAGCACTCTGCAGCGTGCCTCAGGTTACGGGTGGTGAGTGCATTTTCAGCTCACAGGGTGATCACAGCTGTGGGTAACGACCACCCGATGGAATACCCAGCTACTGAAAAAGGACGGAGCCCCACCTGGTGGCACACACCTGCCGTCCCAGCGACTGGGGAGGCTGAGGCAGGAGGGTTGCCATTGAGTGAAGCCCTAAGCAGCTTAGTGAGAACCTGTCTCAAAAAATTAAAAAGGACTGGGGACGTGGCTCAGTGGTTAAGCAACCCTGGGTACAATCCCTAGTACAAAAAGGAAGGAAGAAAAAAGAATGGAGTATTTATAAAATAATATACTGAAGACAGCAACGATATGTTTTTAAAACCTTAAAGAGAGATGCACCAAAACCAGACGATGCTCTGGTGTCTATTAGGTCCTCTTCCCTTGGTGTTTCCCTGGTTTAAAGACTGCTCAGTCCCCTTCACCCCAGAAGCAGAGGGTCTGGAGACCACTAGTGCCACTCAGGACTTCAGCTGAGACAAGGGTGACAGTAGTGTGGCAGCACGTGCCCAGCTCTCTTCTAAATACTTGGTGCATTGGCACGTTTAATTTTTTGAGAGTCCGCATCATGGGGATCCTGAATATCCCCCCAGAAAAGTCCAGTGTTAAAGACGTGGTCCCCAGGGGGGTGCTGTGGGGGAGTGGTGAGACTTTCAGAAGGTGGGGCTACGTGGGAGGTTTTTAGGGCACTGTGGGTGTGACCTCAGAGGGAATTGCTTCCTGGCCACGAGGGGAGCAATCTGCTCCATCACATGCACCCTGCCAGGGCCCTCCAGCGTGCCCTGCCAGAGATCCAAAGCCACGTGCACACCCCATTCTGGACTGGAATCTCCAAAACTGGGAACCAAAATGAACCTTTTCTCCTTGTAAGTCAATTCCCTCAAGTACTCCATTATAGTGACAAAACGTTAACACGACATTTTATAGAGAACACGAGGTATGTTCATATATAATGTATCAAATGAGAGCTCTCAAAAAGTCTCGAGCTGGGTGCAGTGGTACACACCTGTAATCACAGTGGCTCAGGAGTCTGGGGCAGGAGGATTGTAGGTTCAGAGCCAGCCTCAGCTACTTGGGCCCTAAGCAATTTAGCAAGACTCTGTTTTTAAAAAAGGCAGGGGCTGGAGGGACTGGAGGGGCTGGGGATGTGACTCAGTGGTTGAGCACCCCTGGGTTCAATTCCCAGTACCAAAAAAACAGTCTTGATAAACTGACTCCGTTTATGACATCACTGGCAAGACTAGAGAGGACTAAGGAAAAGAACCAGAGTTTGGAAGGCCTGGGAGGGAAGTCCAGGTAAGGGGTGGCTGTCTACACCACTGCATGGCTCCTCCCACCCTTGGCCAAGGGTGACCGCGGGGTGTGCACAGGGCCAGGCCAGCATGCTTGGCCGATGCCCTCTTGATGGGCAGCATCAGAGGCTCCAACCCGCTTGCACGCTGCTGTCTCGCACGCCTATGAGCAGATGTTACAGCTTCTCCCAGGTGGTGAAGAGTGTGTTGCACGATTCACCTACTAAATAGTGCCATGGACGGACCCCCTGCTCCCTCGGCTGGGTCTGTCACTGCCCCAGGAAGCCAGTCCCATCGACTCCCCCTGGACCACACCCCCTRCACCCATTGGGTGGCCTGTTACTGACCTGTGTCTTCTTGACCAACTTGTCCCTGCCCGTGTCCCTCTGTCCCAGAGCACAGGCAACTTCTGAGACTTCTGACGCTATCCCCAAGTTTGTGCCCCCGGCAAACAGATGGGAAGGCGTCTCTGAGCCTCCAGAACATGCCAGGTGGAAGCTGGGGTAGGCTTCCCTGCAGGAGAAAGGAGACCCTCAGGGCACGGTCAGAGGTCCTGGGGAGCAACCCAGGACTTAGTGGACATGGAAAGCACCGGTGTAACTTGTGAGAAAACTGAGGCCCAGAAGGGTCAGGCCACTTTCCCGTCATCACACAGCCTGTTGGTGATGCGAACCCGGGAAAAATGTGCTCTTCACACTCGCCCACCAAAATCAGATCAAAATAAAAGGGACCTTGCTCRTGGGAGCAGGGCTTGTGGATCTGGGTTGCACGTTAGAATCACTGGGAGAGCTTTGAGAACACTGGACACCCTGGCCACACAAGACTGATCAAATCATACACAGCCTCTGGTCTGGGATCCAGGCATCCTGAGACCTTGACCCAGGGCCAGCAGCTCGTCTCGTCTGTGCCCCGCAGAGGAAGGGCAGCCCATCTGGCACTCCGTGGGCCTACGGTTCTACAGGGGCAGACCTGGTGGTGCTGTGGGGCAGGGTGGGTGGTCTGAGGTTTTAGGTGGCTCAGGATTTAGGACTGTTTATAAGTGGAAGTTGGACACGCCAGAGAACTGTAATGTTCAGCAAGCTATTTCCACRTCTGGAGGAACTGGGCAAGTCCAGCAAGCCTTCCCAATACTAACTAGCATTTAAAAATTAACCACAGCCAGGCACAGTGGCACACACCTATAACCCCAGACTCTCGGGAGGCTGGGGTAGGAGGATTGCAAGTTTGAGGCCAGCCTCAGCAATTTAGTGAGATCAACCTCAAAAAATTAAAAAGGGCTGGGGGTGTAGCTCAGTGGTAGAGCAGCCCTGGGTTCAATTCCCAGTACACCCCTCTTTCTCTCTCTCTCTCTCTCTCTCTCTCTCTCTCTCTCTCTCTC